ATCTTACCATCATAGCCTAAAAAATTGAGGTAATGATAGTAGGAAACAGCCACCATGAAGAGCAAATTTGATAACAATTCAGGAATGAAACCATGAGCTACCAGAAGAGGTAATAGAAAATAATGCACAACTGCCAGAAAACGAAGACATCAGCAGCATTTTGGCATATAATTAGACTGAACTTCAGTAAGGTAACTAGTTTCAGGTCACACTAACCATAAAGCAACACAAACATTGGGAAGAAAGAGTTGCAATGTACATCAAAGGCATACAACCTTCAGAACATAGATGAAGAACAAGTTAGCAAAGAAACACCAGTTAGAATAGTAAAGTTCCTGAAACGGATCTTAAGTGTGATTTTCCCAACAAGTGCAAAAACTCCATTAATCATAAACAAGGAGATTATCAAATAATATGTAGATGTCAAAAAGTGGAAGGGAAAAACTGAGGACTTGCCACTCTACCCTCTGCTCCACCACATGGCTGTTTGGAACTTCTTCTCGAAGATAATTGTTTGTAAAGAACCTGCATAAAGTTCGCTGAATAAGTTACCATTTAGCAACCTTAAGTAATCATCAAGAGCAATTCCCAAACAATAAAGGCAAGGCTGTCCTACTAAAGAGTCACTTTGATAGCTGTTACAATTATCCCAAAATGAGAAACTAAAATATTAGGGACCGGGCGAGGTACAAAACAGGGGGAAGAGATATCCATGAAAACGAAAGAATTTATTTCCTCTTAATTTTGCATTCCCACAAACTTCCGAGGATGGCACTACCAGATTGACAAGTTTAAATAAACTTGACATGAGAACAAATAAATATGGCCCCCAAGCTTTTGAAGGTTTTATTTGCAAATCCAACATGTTTGACAAGTTCAGGTCTGAAAGCACCTCATGTTGATCCATAATGAAATTCATAGGACAAATTTCAAGGCCAAATTTCATTACTCATCTGAGTAAAAACTAAAAAATATTGAAAATAATTAACTTTCCAGGACTAATTCAATTTGAGACCTTGGGAAGAAATTCAGCAATTATTATACCTAGAAATCTAAAATTTATCATTTTGAGAAGTGTATGCTCAGAAAAATCAGTTATTTTTACTTCTTCCACAATGAATTTAGATAAGGGAAAGTCACTCATTAGAATTACAAAGAATTCCAGTATGACCATTGCTTCCTGCATCATATTAATTCCCATTCTTGCGATCCACCCCAACTCAAATCATAGAATAGCAATTCTTATGGAGACTACAGTCCAATTATGCATAGAGCAACCTACACGTGTAGGGATTTCTACGTACAATATGCATGTCCTTGGCTCCGAGAGAAGAGACCTTACCACTGGGAGTCTAAGACAAGGCTTACCCTTATTTTTTCTTCTAACAAATGATACTTAACTTGAATTGTCACGTAAATAAACTAGAAGTTTGTCATAGTGAAGAAGGATAATTTTTTTTTTCTAATTTGAATTCGAATGCACACGGCATAAAATTACTGCAAGACTACAGTTTCACAAATTAAAACTCAAAACAATCTGAGAGAGGTAACTTGGGTACTTGCAATTGTAAGTATTGACCTATTAATACATTCAGTCCTTACCAACAAAATGTAGCCAAAACTGCCCCAGTTATCAGGAAATGGAAAAGCAGTACTGAAATAATTACAAAAACAGCATGTCCTGCACTATGATCATACCTGAAACAAATGACAAATGGCACATTGTTGGACAGATCAGCATTAATGAGCAAATACTATGATATATGAAAGGAAATATTCGAACAAGTTAGAAGGACAATGACATGGAAGCTTTTCTGACAAAATTTTCAAATGTTAAAAAGCAAACATGACTTCTCAAGTATCACAACTAAGAATTGACTAATAAATATTCCTTGATCAACCAAAGAAACCTCCTATAAGACTTATCAATAACAATATCATTAAATCTGCCATAGAAAGCAAGCTCACAGACACTCACGCAGCACAATAGGCTATCGTAGAAACTGCCAAAAGAAGACTGCATATCACAACAAAAGCAGGATCATCACGTGCCCATTGGTTCTTTGTTTCTGCAACAAAGAAACATGAAGAAAAAAACTATGAGATTGCAATCACAACAAAAGCGGGATCATCATGTGCCCATTGGTTCTTTGTTTCTGCAACAAAGATACATGAAGAAAAAAACTATGAATGATGTTATTACAAACCTGTCAAATTTATCCAATTGTTTGTTCCCTTTCATAATTTAGATAGAATCAGACAAACTAAGTGGAGGTCATAAAAGAAGTAAAGAATGGAATATGAAACCAACCAACCAGAAAATTCACCAATAATGCAATATACTTGAAGCATAATATGAAAAGGGTAAACTCACATAACATAGAAATGGTTCAGTATCAGCCAAAACATCAAACTGCAAAGAAGATAAGTTCGTCCATTCCCACAAAACAGAAAGTTCTAATATAAATATGACCTCAGGCTAAAGCTACTGCTATCACATCAACAAAAGTAGCCAAAGAATTGTTCCAGTTATAAACTGCTAAGCAGAACAAGTCTTCAAGGTTATTTTGTTCACAAATCTATGGTTGCATTCTGTTAGGGTCCAATAGTTGTGGGAGTCAATCACCCTCAAGCCTGGGCTTTTGGGAGAGATGGTTGGGTTCCCATCACATTCATCCAGAATCAAGTCAAGTTAATCGATTATTGAGAGAAAATGTAAAGCTTATAATGTTGAATGAACAAGAATTGTTTAAGTTAAAACTTTTTGACACATTAGTGGTCAAATATGACAAGACCAAAATGCACAGCATACGAAATAGAATTCTCAACTTAAAGAGATGGCAACACATTGATTTGCACCCAAGTAATTAGCTGGACTAAAAGAGGTAAAAGTAAAGAACACTTACGTTTATGATACTTTGTGTGTTGATATCTGCATCCATTTTGTAGTACATGAGACATGAAGAGATTTATCAGAAACCCAAAAACATCCCAAGAAAACAGATCAGGATAACGATTTCTTATTTTTAGTACCCCGGATTAACAAAATTACTAGTAAAACTTGCGCAAAATCATGAATGATAATTTCCCTAAAAACACACTATACACTGTCAATCACTGCCACCATTCTCAAAATACACAGACTAACCCATAATTCATCACAAACCATTATGCATCAGTTAGGTACCAGCTAAACTAGACTCAGATAATTCAAATTTCAGTGAGATATTCACAAGGTGCATTCTGATATTAGTTACTAAATGAGAATAACCAACACCATGGAGTGCAGTAAACCAATTAAAATTACAAGCAACATAGAGAAATGGAAATAATAATTAAAAAATTGTTACCTAGAGTGTGGATAGAATAATTTGCACAATGGAATAGGAACATAATTCATCGCCTAGTCAAACATGTGGTATGCTATAGGTTCTTGGGATGACATTTCAAGAATTTTAGATGACACTATTGGATTTTTTAGACAACAAGACTAAATTAAAGTAAAAACATCTGCTGCCAATCTCATCTAAAAGCTTACATTTCAGTGATCAATCAATTTTTCTATTTGAACATTTTTGCTCATTAGTTTTAAAGAGAGGGAAGCTTTTATAAAAGAATAATTCAGTGCACAAAAATATAGTATTCCCAAATTTGGATGAAAATCCAATTCTCAATAGGAAAATTCAAAAAAAATAATCGGAGCAATCTGTAGATGCCAGATACTTACACCACTTTTGGAGAGGTACATAGGTGAAGCATTTGCCAGAAAGTATATTCAATGTCCATTTGTTGCCACTGCAACCAGCCAAAACAAATGGATGTCATTTAAGGGAAAAAGCAAAAAATGGAGAATTTAAAAATTCATGAGTTAGAAAGCATGATGCTTCAATCAGGCTTCTGATAATTACAGAGATCCAGAAAGAATAAGCAAGTTTCAACCCAATGCTGACAGACATCGATTCTGTCCACACCGGACCACAATAAAAAATAGACACATCTGCAGGTAGAAAACAAAGCAACTAAAAAGATCTCATCGATCACAGTGTTAAGGTGATATAACCTGAATTATTTACAAAGTCTTCACTTGCTCTGAAGCCTATTTAATTTTGCAACTATGGCCAATACAGAGGTGCTTTGCATTGTACACCTAGAACCTATGTTAATCATATAACAGTATCATACCAAATTTAAGACAACTAGTATGCTTCTACGCTCCCGGAATTATAATGATGCACAAAAAATTATATCCCTTTCCTAAGTGTAACTTTTTATGCCTTCTGTTTTCTATCAGCCCTTGCATCATCAAACATCAGCCTCTCATATTATTTTTTCCCCCCAAAGATGCAGAAAGTTCCAGTATTTTACACTGGACCAGCCAAAATGGTATGTTCATTGCCATTTGAAAGTGAAATGAAGTACAATTGAAAGGAAGGATCACCCAATAGGGTTGGCTGATTCTTTCATACTTCCTGGTTCTATAAACACTGGCCTGGGCAAAAAAATCGAAAAACCGATCAAACCAAACCGACTAGAGAGTCGGTTTGACACAAGCAACTGGTTTTGTTTGGTTTTCGTTTAAATAAAATCATGGTGATTTGGTTCGACCATGATTTGAAGTCTGGTTAACAAAATCAACCCAGCCCACTTACATTTTTACCTTTCTTTTTTTTCCATTAAAAAAAAAAAAAAAAAAAAAAAAAGCTTTATTTTCATAAAAAAAAAAAAAAAAAAAAAGAAGCTCTAATTTCATAACTATATCACGATTCCCTTCAAGCTATGATGTTGACGGTAAGTAATAGTTTTGAAAATCTTCTTTCACAAGCTCATTATATAATACTTAGTCTTTTTTCCCTACTCAGGTAGTCAGGTACATAATGTATAAAAAAACAACAAAATTCTTAAGTTTTTTTGTTAATCAGTCTCAAGTAACCTAATTTTATTTGTTACTCAATAATTCTTGTAATATAAAGTTATTTAGTCATTTTTAATCTTGTAATCTAACTGGGCCAAAACTTGGATTTCTTTTTTAAAAAAAATCAATTTGAACTAAACTCCAAACCGACTAACCGAACCAACCGAACCCTACCATTTGATTCGGTTTAAGAGTTAGAGTGTGTTGGTTTGGGTTGAAATTCACCCAACCTGACTAATTTGGTTTTGGTTTCGGACTGGAGTCGAAACAAACCCAAACTAAACCGCACCCAGGCTGGCAGTGTCATTTTCATACCAACCTTAAATAATAAGACCAGAAACTGACTGCCTTTCTCTATATGTGCTCCAGTTTCAAAATTTGCCTTTGAAAAGGCACAATTAAACCAGCTTCAATACAAATTACAGTAAGACTGAGACCTAGCAGACGGTAACTTCTTGAAAATAGTTACCAAACACTGGGTAATTTATCACATAGAGTAATCAAATTGGTTTTGTAAGTGTAAAAACCCATATTTCATTGTAGAAGCCGTCTAATCAAATGACATTTCATCTGCCACTAGAACGAAGATTGGTGCCTCCAGTAAAGTCTCAATTGAAAGTTTCATAGAATTTCCTTCATTTTGTCCTATGGACTGAACCCCATAAACTAACCCAAAACATAACGATATGATATCAGGGATGGGATTTTTTACTTTTAGATAGATTAACATATCATTGGCAACAAGTTTAACAGACAACCATTGAGCAACACATAACATAACATCGAGTGTAATGTTCAGTCCTGAGCAAATCAAAATTCTCTCACTTAAAGTTAGTTTCAGTCCCAACAAGGATAACATAGAATAATGTGTCATTAATTGTCTGGTTGTGGAAAATAATAGAACAAATTGTTAATCAGCACAAAAGCTTGACGAAAGTGGACAGTGAGGACATTGAAAAATCCAGGCAGCTGGAAAGAAGTCTGATCAACTTTATTCAGGTTTTTGATCTGGTGCTCTATCTGCTTGTAATTAACCCAATGACAAAAACGGCACCAGTATCAGTCACCCCGCCTGTCTCATAATTAATGATAAGAGTGGAGTAGAATAATAGGTTCTTTATCAATTAAGTCCATATACACAATATTTTTCAGATATATTTTGCCACGGCATCCACAAGCTCAATTCTTCAACAATATCACACTTCCGGTACCAAATTATCTCAAATAACAAAACTAGGAGGAGAAAATGCAAATAGATAGAAGAACGCGTGGGAATTTGGAATTCATTTCTTTATCCACTTCGCCTCGTCCTTCGTCACAAAAAAAATAATAATAAACAACATAAATCCAATCCAGCCACGATTCATCTTTCATAGCCAAGTGAATAAGCTCAAACATGTTGATTAATGCAGTGATATGCGAATCGTGCGACATCTTCGAAAAGATTTTACAAGTAGGATCGCCATCAGATCTATATGCAATTGATTGAACTCTAAACATCTTCACATTTCTGTAAGTATGTGTGAGGAGGAAAATGAACCTTGACTATTCTGCGGAAGTACTGAGGGAGGAAAGAATTGGGTCGGGCATGAGAACCCGAGCGCCCTGTTGTCGATGACGAGGTAGGCAGCATCCTTCTTTGCCTTCTTCTTCACTTCTTTTATGATTCACGCGATTTCTTTTTTCTTCTATTCAACAAATCGATCAAAGATTTGTTCAATTTCGTAGCAGTTTTACCATCTTGTTCCTCTCTCGCTCGCTCCCGCTCAGGTGTGATTCACTCTTTTCGGGCTAATTAGGTAAACATTGCGGACTTAATAATTCAACTTTAAAAATATATGTCATTGATCCCTCAAAACTCGAAAGTGTTGCTACTTTATAATTCAACTTAAAAATATATCTCAATGATCATTAAATTATATATCATATGTTATTCACTTATCACTCAAATTAAAAAATTCGTTAAATTCAACAAAAACATCAACTTGAGTAATGGACAGATGATATTGTGCACAGTTTAGTGACCATCCAGATACATTTTTAAGTCCAATTATTAAATAGTAATACTTGACAAAGTCAGTGACTATTGAAACATATTTTTAAATTCAATTATTTACATGATTCAGTAACTAATGAGATATATTTTTAAATCCAATTTTTAGGTCCCTCAATTTGACCTTTGTGAAAGAAGGTATCAAAAGAATAGGAAGGAAAGATAAAATGGAAAATTGGAGACATATAAAATCGAATAAAAATAGAACTCTGTTGATTCCATCAATCACGATAAAAAATACGTTTGATTTTTAAATCAACTAATCAATTCATCATATTTCGAACTTCGCATAAAAAGATTGAAAGTGAGATAGTAGGAATACTGAAAGAAATTGACAGATAAAATTAAATAAAAGTACACAAATGTTTAAATTAGTGCAAAGGTAATTGAGGTCAATTTGATTTTTCAACTCTTTTCCCTTCATTTTCTTTACTTTATTCTTTAACAGGTGCCAGTTTGAGGAAAACGGAAATAGTTACTACTTAATAACTAACTTCAAAATGTATCTCAATGGCCACTAAACTTTTTTAAATGTCACTACTTCGTAATTGAACTTAAAAATGTATCTCAATAATTACTAAACTATTCATCGTTTTACACATTCATCACTGAAGTAGACGACGTTTGTTGAATTTAATGTAGTTTTCCCATTTGAGTGATGAATGGGTAACACAGTACACAGTTCAATGACCATTGAGATATATTTTTAAATTCAGTTAAGAAATAGTAACACTTGAAGGAGTTCGGTGACCAGTGATCATTGAGATACTTTTTTAAGTTTGATTATTAAATAGTAATACTTGGTAGAGTTCAATAATCATTCATGTAATTAACCCACCATTTTCTTTTCTTTTGACATTGGATAATGTTGTTTATGGACCTATTTAATTAGAGGCCAAAGGGTTAAAACGAGAGAAAATTTTCACAAAATCAAGCATTAAGTATGAGACAATTTAATTTTCAAGTTTTAACTCTAAAAATATAAAATTTAGGTATTAGTAAATTAATTAAAAATGTTTTATTAATTAATTATATTAATGTCACAATTATACTATTAATAGCAACATGGACGTATTTATAGGTCGCAACATCACATATTATCAAATTAATTAATTAGTTATAAATTATTGGGTAATTAGCACAAAACGTCCATACCTTTCGATGTTTTTGTGAAAAACGTCATAACCTTTCGTTTTATGGCGGATTACACCCTTACCTTTACCTTTTTTTGCGCAAAACGTCATTCCGTCAACTCCCCGTTAAAATGTTCCGTTAAATCAAAAGGTAATTAACACAAAAGGTTCATACCTTTCAATATTATTGTGCAAAACGTCCATACATTTAAGTTTTGATATAATTAGTACAAAAGGTCCCTACCTTTCAATATTATTATGCAAAACGTCCCTACCTTTCATTTTTAGCATTTTCACCCCTACTTTTCATCTTTCATTGTGCAAAAGGTCATTTTCACCTCTCTTTTTTTCAATAAAATGACGATTTTACCTTCCTATTCAAATAAAACAAAAGGAAAAGGAAAAAAAATAATGAATTGAAATCATAATCCTAAATCTTTCAAAACATTAGAGATAAATCTTAAATTCTCAACTACCGCCACTTTCACAACCCCACCAAGTCACCACCTATAGATCCATATAGCACCATCTTTCGACCACAACACCTATCGGACTCCACCACCACCAACCTCGCCTCACACTCTCTAATATCCTCCTCCATAGTATCGATCACCAATATGTCCGAAACAACCACATTTACGATGGTGGAGTTCGTTGGGCATGATGGCCGAAGGTGGTGTTATGTTGATTTATAGTTGGCAGCTTGATAGGTTGTGAAAGTGGTGCTAATTACCTTCTGATTTAACAGAGCATTTCAATGGGGAGTTGATAGAATGACGTTTTGCGCAAAAAAAGGTAAAGGTAAAGGTGAAGGTGTAATCCGTCAAAAAATGAAAGGTAGGGACATTTTGTGCTAATTACCCTAAATTATTTCAAAATCACAATAAAAAAAATGGATAGGTCACAATTTATTTATTTGGTCTTAAATAAAAAAAAAGTATAGGTTACAACTTACTTGTTGGTCACATATTTTCAAATTAGTTGGTCAAGAATTATTTTTTTATCACAATTTTTAGATCATAATTAAATAGTTTGGTTATAGACTAACCAAATAGTTCATCACATAACACTACCATCAACACTGACACCACTACTACCACGATCACTTGCGACCACCACCACCAATAGAGTTTAATAGCACCATCATCACCAACACAACCCCACTACCAACAGCATAGACATAGACATAGCTCCAACAACCATAACCACCACCCAACAGGAAAAATAAATAAATAAAAATCCCAAACACCACCACCACCAAAATACTAAGCAACACTACCCCATTTGCAAAACCGCCAACAAAACCATCTAAAGGGCTACCCCTTTCAAAAGTAAAAGCACTGCCATCGCCTCTGTGGCCACCACTTCCACCACCACGTCAAATTCAACAACTTAACCTCTTTTCACCAAACCACATCCACCAACAATACCGCACCACAACATCGCAACACCACACCTCCAACCACGATCACTAGATCCGAAGTCGGACTAGACGTTTCAGAGCTTTGGCGCTTACAGCTCTGCCTCTGAACGATGGCTATCCTGTGAGCATTGTCGCTGTTGACCCCAAAAAGTGCGCCAACAGATGCCGGTCCCACCCCGCTTGCGTGGGCGAATGTCCAACACGCTAAAACACGATTTGTTCGTAATCCGATTGTACAATAATTACCAACCAGTGCTCGTAAATGTATATGTAAAAGTGTATAAACTCGATTTGTGTATTGCAAGTAAATGAGAGAGAGTTGAGTAAATGTAGTCTTTAGTGTTGATTTTTGCATTAGCCTTTGACATTACACAATGGAAGTATTTATAGTGATACATATGAAATGGGAGCCCTTGGATGAAGTGGCACGTGGCCTCATCTCTTTAGTTCAAACGTCTTTTCTTAGGTATGCGGCTTGACTTGCTAGCTTGCGGCGCATTTATTGCTTGCGCAGGTCCTCCATACTAGTGACAAGACTTGACCTTTATGCTTGTGATAAACGTTCCATCGGTCATTCGAATAAGATCTCTGAGCAGGCGATCTCTTGGGAGAAGTGACTGTGGAGGAAGCTCCTTGTGGTTAAGAGGCTCACGCATCAGCTTCGGGGCTTCGACCATATGATAAAAACTTCCACTTGAGGACCTCAGCTAACTTCAATAGGTTCCATGCTTCGGGTCATGGGGCTCGGTAGTTGGACTTCGGCAGAGTACATCGGATCGAGGAGTCTCGGCGGATGGACCTCGGCTTGAAGCACTTAGGATATAACCCACCTCGACAATGTGTGCCACCTCGGCAGGAATGCCACGTGGATCAGGATGAGTGGGCCATTGGCCCAGGTGGGTAGGACAGGTGTGACAACACGTAACAATAGTCCCCAAAGTCCAAGTATAATCATTCATGTAATGCGTGGACTTTAATGGAGTAAAAGTTGAAAGAATTTTTGAGCCAAATAATCGTCCCCCAAGACCAAGTATAGATATTTATATCATGGTTGGAGTTTGAGAAGTGTTGCTGTGGGTGAGCGATGAAGTAGGCGAGGTGTTTGAACTCTGAAGATGAGCCGAGGTGGTTGAGTAGCCGAACCTGCGAGGCTTTGATGCTGAATGGTGAAGAGGAAAGCCGAGATGGTTGAGGAACTGAATCTGCGAGGCTTGATTGCTGAATGGAGAAGAGGAAGCCAAAGTGGTTGAGTAACCGAACCTGCGAGGCCTGCCGAGGTGCAATGGTAATGATTGTGCGTTGGCTGCTATGCCAATGATTTGATGTTTTGTGCTTGTTTTTGAGGAAAAGTGGCTGGACCGTTACGACTTCCAAGGCGCTGCTGCCGTCAAATTAAAAATACAATTATGAGGGCAGCTGGCTCTTCTAGAAGCAGAAGCGGTGGAGAGGTGCGTGGGAGGCACGCATAAATCTGAAGTGAAGGATTTAAAAATCGTTTGAATTCAACGCCTCGGATTGGATCTGAAATGGAGGGCTCGGATTGACTGAGATTTGATCTGACGGCTGGGGTTCGTCTTGGACTTTTATAAAAGGTGAGAAAATCCCAATTTTCAGGATTTTTGAACACTTTGCACTCTGAAACTCTCTCAAATCTCCAAATTTCCGGCGTCGAGGTTGACTGTGATATTAAATTCCGGCCAGTCTCCATTTGTGTCGAATTCCCTTAGGTATTGCTTGCACAAAAACCCTTGTTACTGTCTTTTTACTGAGAAAATGGAGTCCACTTCGGGTAGAGAGCTTGTTACAGTGGCGTCTTTAGACTATGGGGTTGGTCACGGGGGGATGTCCAAGGTGGATAGGTATGCCATGGCCGAGGAGCCTGTAGATTATACCCAGGAGTGGGGGCTTCTAGAGTGCCCTCAAATATAACGGGGAAGAGCGGGCCTACTATCCGAGGCCTGGCTGCGTGGCCATGAGTGAATACCTGTTCAAGGCAGGTATGCATCTTCCTCTGCACCCCTTCTTTAGGGCGGTGCTTAGGAAATTCATGTTGTCGCCGACCCAGGTTCTGCCGAATGGGTGGAGCCAGCTGGTCGGCTCGTACTTCCTGTGGAAGGAAGTGTCACTTGGGGAGGACATGCCTCTTCATGTGTTCATGACCCTGTTCCAGCCCCGAGTAATTGGGAAGGAGTCAAGGGGGTGGTATTACCTCACG